TATTATTTCCCCTTCCATTCTCCTTCCCATTTCAAAATACCTTTCTATTACTGCTTGCAGTTTCAATAGTGGAACAAAATAAGCTTAAGTTGCCTACGTACAACAGATCCGTTGTTCTAGAGTTAGGCAGGAAGCAGGGGAAAACAGCAGCGAAAGCCGGTGAGAGACGGAAGGAGTTCCCACGCACGGAATCAAATATGTTGTAGCCGCACAGAGCAAAATTCCTAATAAAAATCATATGATAACCCTTCTTGAAGATCAACTTTATAATAAATTTGAAAAAATAGCGCTTTTTAATTTATCGATCTACAACTTAAAAAAAATCGGTACAGACGAACACCAGGCACATAAACACACACGCGCACACACATACAGACAACTCCTCGATGTAAAAAACATTGCATAAATGTAAAAACACTGCATTGCATAGACGTAAAAAACGCATAAAAACTGTCCATGCTCCATTTGGACTTAATTTATTACGAGAGGGGGAAGTAGTCGAAAGTGGCTCTAGTGAAGAAAAACATCAAAAATTTGCGTGTGTGGTAGATGAATTTAAAATCTTTAGCTCACACCTGCATAGAGAATATCCGTGCAAAGTTTCAGCTAACTAATATCTATCCCTTTCAAATCTATCGCCAAATCTGAAAATGCATAAACCAACAAAAAAAAAGCTTACAATGCCATCAACAATAGTTTTATCAGTGGTGGCAAAGATGCCAATGCCACGACTTCGATCGGTGTACTGCTGGTAATACAACACAGAAATTTTGCTGCCAGGCAGTGGCCGATCCATACATGCTTCATCTAGGAGTGTGATTGCGCAACCTAAAATTTTAATTTCAATAACGGGAAAGATGTGGGTGACTTAAGAATATGTTTCTCAAGGCTATCATAACTCATTTCTTACCATTATAAAAATTGTAATAATTTTATCACGATAATATCGTAGCAATTTTATCAAGATATTTTACAACTTCTACTAATTTCTTAACATTATTTGCTTTTGCCTTCCTCCAATTTTGAAAGATTTTCCTA